GTTCCTGACCCGACATATCAACTCTCCTGCTCCTCTGATGCTGCCTGTAATGTGTTCCTCCAGCCCTACACTATATAGACTTTGGGAGACAGTAAGTGAGTCACTCATTGCAGAATTCCTAGCCTCTGAGCTGCTTTTACATCTCTTTCTAAAGAGGTGACTCTAATTGTGGACAGGGCATTATCTGGAGATGTTATTCATATGGACTTCCAGAAGCCCTTTGATGAAGTTCCTCACAGGAAACTGTTGGCTAAAGCTGTAGCTCAAGGAACTGAAGGCAAATGATTGAATATTTGGAAATTGGCTAACCGGATCTAAAGACCAGTGATAACAGATATGTTCTCTAACTGGCAGAATATTGGTGCCCCAAACAGAATTGTGTTGAGGCCTCAATCCCTCATCTTCATTAGTGTGAACCCAGTTCTGAGGAAGGGTCACCGGACCCGAAACGTTAACTCTGTTTTTTCCTTCACAGATGCTGCCAGACCTGCTGAGCTTTTCCACCACCTTTGTTTTTGCTCCTGATTCACAGAATCCGCAGTTCTTTCGGTTTTCATTTGTGTGAACTTCAGGCAGCCTGGGATTTGATAGCTATTCAGACGTGTCCAGTAGTCAACTAGTGAAACCTTTTGAGCTTTTCGGCTAAAGGAAACCACAAAAATATAACAAGGGTGAGACTAGCCTTTACGGGGAAGGTGAGTAAATATAACAATGTGTGCAAATGTAACAACCATAAATCTGTAACAACTTCATTAATGCCAGCAAGATTCTCGCCTATGAGTCAGAGGTTGTGGGTTTCAATTCTCATTCTCTGAATTCACCACACAATCTAAACTTACATTCCGGCGCAATGCTTACTGAGTGCTGCAAGAGAAAGGTTCACTGGCCTTTCATCAACTGCTGTTTGTCAGATCTTCCTTTACGCAAACTGATTGCAAAAATCTGTGGGCTTGCACTGAGCTTAGTTCAACCTCTATGCTCGCTGACCTAAGTTGACCCTGGTCTGGAAATGCCACAGCTTTAAAACACTCTTTTTCAGGTTCAAATCCTCTCATCACCCTGCTCGTGCCCCCCACCGCCCAAACTGTGTAACCTCCTCCAGCCTGACGACCCTCTGAGATTTCAGCATCGTCCCATTCTGGCCTCTCGCACATCTCCAATTCTCATCAGCTTGCTCTTGGTTGAAGTGCCTTCATTGCTTCGGCATTGTGACAAAACTGTGGCTATAAGACGTATGTTTTGTCCTGGTTTCTTGAGAGAGAGAGAGATTGGGGGTCAGGTGTCGAACAGTTTGTGATAAGATGAACAACTTGTGAGGCCTTGAAGTTTTTTTTTTAAGTTGGAACAATAGAAGCAGCCTGAGTGGGTGAGGTCAAGTTCTCTCAGACCCAGGATCTTTAGTTTTAGCTCTCAGCAGTTGTTGCTGGGGTGTCAGCAGGGTTGGAAGGCAGTGAATCTCCCCCGACTGCTACACTCGCTCTCTCACAATTGTCTTTCCTCCTGGATTAGAGAACTGCATGTGAGATAAATCTGTTTTCTGAATTTGCAATATTGCCAAGGCTGTGTTTATCGAATGTTCCTATATTGGAACAACTAATTAGAAATAGTTACTTTTTCTATTATTCTGTTAAATTTTCCATAGAGTTAAATTATTCCAGTTCTTCTTTCTTTGGTTGTATTTTAACTATAGTATTTAAACAAATTGTGTTTTGCTGAACGTTGAGTAATTTAACCAATCAAATTGCACCTGGAACACAGTACTTCACATTTACCTGTAAAACAAGAAAAAGTTTTGGTTTTTATTAAGAAAAAGTTAGAATCTAGGCTACTTTCTTAATATATTTTGAGAGGATCTGCTCTGCCCATACAGGCACTAAATTGTGGAATTCTCTCCCTAAACCTCTCCCTGACTTTCTGTGGACCTTGCATTGTTGTGTCAACTGCAGCTCAGCTAGCTGTCTGAGTCAGGAGGTCATAGGTTCAAGTCCCACTCTGGGCCTGCAGCTCAAAAATCCAGTGTAGGAGGCACAATCTTTTGGCTGAGATATGACTGTTCTCTCATATGATGTGAAAGAACCAAGACACTATTCTGAAGGAGCACTGGGGGAGTTTGTTTAAATCCTCAATAAGCATTGTCTAAACAAATTATCTGATCATTTTCACATTGCTATTTCTGGGTATTTCCTTTGTTCAAATTGGCTGCTTTTACAACCTGATTAGATTATCAAGATACTTCAACGACTGCAAATCACTTCAGGATGTTGGGTGGTCGTGAAAGGCACTATATAAATGCAGAGGCTTTCTTTCCTTAAAATGCTCCGTGAAGCTTACTTCTTTGTCCAGGTTTGTGCTTAGTCACCAGAGCATTCTTTACATGGTAACATTCTTATCAAAATCCTTGGATCAATAAATAATTTGTTTTCATTGTCATAATGACAGTCACTGCATTTCATGAATAAATTCCAAATGGGTCAGAGTCCTTTATTTCCCAACATTGTTCAATATGCTGGCTTTTCAAATCCCTTTGAAATGTTCTATTAGCCTCTGTCTTAATGATCACCAATGCTAATTGTATCAAAATAATTTTGTGTGAAAATATTTCTTCAAAGTCTGTCTTTTCCTTGCAATAATTCTCTGCAGTCACCAATGAATGGAAAACTATGTTTTACTATTTATGCATTGAAAGCATTTTGAAAACCCCATAACCTTAGGTTATGTGTTCTGCAACTTCACTGTCACTGGGTCAAAACCTTGGAGCTCCCTCCTTAAGGGCATTATGGGTCTAGCTACAGCATGCAGACTGCAGTGGTTCCAGAAGACAGCTCATTACCACCTTCACAAGGGCAACTAGGGACAGGCAATAAATGCTGGGCATGGCCAGCAACCCTCGAGTGAATAAAAAATTCTTTCAAGCTGTCTTGAAGAAACTACACTGAGCACTTTTCCTGTGCAGATAATGTCAAAGAGTTGAATTTTGACAGAAAGCTAGACCTGGAAGGAAGAGGGTTATGGTGAGCGGGTGGGCAGGTGGAGCTGAGTCCCAAAAAGATCAGCCATGATCTTATTAAATGGCGGGGCAGGCTAAAGGGGCCAGATGGCCCACTCCTGCTCCTAGTTCTTATGTTCTTATAAGAGTCTAGGTACATTCACTCGTGCAACACCATTGCATCAGCCAATATTCTCCAGTCCCTGGGTTACAGTCCATTGGTGAAGCACCAATTGATGGGAGAGCTACAACAAACAAACGAACAAAGCCATTTGAGTAGAGGCATTCAAAACCGGTGGACTCAAAATCAGGATTCCATACACTCATTCTCCAGATTTAGGTGGAAAAAACCCTTCACCTTCCCCTTGACTTCTTGTGGAATTATCTACCACAGAAGGCGGTGGAGGTCAGGGCACTGGATATATCCAAGATGGAGACAGATACATTTTTAGATTTTAAAGACACCAAGGAATTTGGGGCAAAAGCAGGAAAATGACAGAGATGGATGATCAGCCATGATCATAGTGAATGCAAAGCAGGCTCAAAGGGCCTACTCCTGCTCCTAATTTCTATGTTACATAGAATCCCCAGTGTGGAAGCAGGCCATTCAGCCCATCAAGTCCACACCAAAATCTTGCTTCCATTGTATAGAAGCTCAACTAGACCACATCTAGACTACCATGTGCAGTTTCGATCTCCGTATCTCAATAAAGTCAGAGGAGGTTGACCAGACTTGCTCCTAGGATGGTGGGAGAATCTAAGTGATTGGACAAACTGACCTTCTATTTGGGAGCTTCAAAGAGAAAGGGCTAATCTCATTGTACCTACAATACTTAAAATAGACAGTAGATACAGCTAAGAGGTTCCTCTTGGTTGGGGAGTCTCGAACTGGGTGTAGAATTTAAAAGTGGTGGAGGGGTGGGTCACTCGGGTCTGAGATGAGACATTTTAAAAAAAAAAAAAAAATTCAGTCATGAACTTTGGAATTCTCCATCAGATTGGACTGCAGAAGTGCACTCTTGACTATTTTGGCCAGTAAAGTTTGATAAGATTTCAGATTACTAGTGGTGTACAAGGTCATTGGGAAGGAGAGAGTAAAAAATACTGAAGCATTCGATCTGCCATGAGCTTGTTGAATGGCCTATTCCTATTGGCAAAAGTTGCTTTTCTCTTTGGGGAGTCCACCACTTCAAGAAGTTTTCTGATGGACTCCAATTCAGAACCTTGCTGTTAATATAAATTTACATTTTATTGACCAATCCATGGGGGTTGGTGGTGGTGGTGGTGGTGAGGGGCAGTGGCAGGTAGCAAATGGCTTATGACCAATAAGTGTGGTCCCCAAGCATCTGGAGGTATGCTATAGCACAGGACGAGCACCAATTCGGGGGAGGATAGTAGAATTTGAACCACTACATCAGTGACACCTTTCAGAAAAAAAGGTATTCAACACAGCGTCCAAATTTACTCATTAAGCTGGAGATTCCCATGGTCACTATTTCAAAGAACATTCTCCCGTGGCCTAGGCAATTTGTAACCTTCACTACAAAAAAGTTATTACCTGGTCATTATCATGTTGCTATAAAAACAAAATGCTGGAGACTCAAAACAAATGGCACATGCTGGAAATCTGGGGGAAAAAGTTGGAGAGAAAGCCAAGTTTCTCCAGCACAGACCTGTAGGATTGCTCCCACATTGTTGTGTGTCTGGAGAAATTCAGCAGGTCTGTGCAGAAACAAAAAAAAAGTTAACATTACAGAACTCCAAAGCTGTCAGACTCAAAACACTAACAGTAACCTCCCTCAGCTGGTAACAGACCTACCAAGTTTCTCTAGCACTTTGTGTTGCTTGTCTTGCACAGCTAGATTTCAGTTGCTAGAATTTCTGCATTCCAAACACAATATCAAAAAAAAGCCTAACTTCATTGGATGTGGCAAAGCAATTTGCAGCCAGAATCACTAGTAAAACAGAAGACTTGCATTTGTACAAATACTGAAGAAAAAACCATGACCCCAGCTTTGTGTAAAGATATGTTTTATTTATACATTAAAAAATCCAGAACAAATTAAAATATATGAATATGTACAGATCTGAAAATAGCAAATCACCTTTTCTGCAAACAATTAGTCAATAGGAAGACAAATTACAGGCTTTCCACTGGTACTCCGACAGTTGGGATCATTTGCAGAGTAATTTTAAGCCAACTTGCCTCTCAGAATACTAACAGGATCAGGCGCATTGTTTTGCCAGCTTATTTCAAGCCCATGGAGGGCAATATTGGGGAGGGATGCAAAACTGGTGTGCTACCTCATTCAGGTGAGTTGGGTTAAAATGGTTCCCCCTTTGCTGTACAAAATGCACTGGAAGTTACCAAGTGGAGCACTAGAAAAAAAAAAACAATAGACCAGTGTGGATTCTGCATATACAAGAGGTGTTCACTGTATGAACACCCTGAAGTTAGATGTTGTGTTGCAACCACCAGTCATTGCTCAATAGTTAGAATTTCCAAACACCGCACCAATTTCAGCACAGATCACACTTGGAATGTCATGAGTGAAACATGGTGGCTATTGCTCCTTCCCCTAATTAATCCCATAAGAGGTGGTGGCATCACAAAATCTTATGGGGTTTCCTCCTCCATCTCCTGCAATAGCAAGGCCTTAATGTATGTGGCCTCAAGCTCTAACAGGGAAACAAGGTGCTACAATAAAAGCTGTTCCAATGCTTTTCCCAACTCAAGCCATTCAAACCCCTTCAAACGAGCAGGTAATGACTTACTACACAGAGTGCAGGAAGATCCCTTCTTACCCAAAAGGCTTTGTACTCTGCAGTGAAATGAAACTCATCAAAAAGATAAGGAATGAAAATTCACTTAAAAAGAAGAGGTCCAGCTTGAAAAATAGTCATTGCTTGAACCTCTTGCTCCAATTAGGTTTTCTGACAGATTTAATTTGCATATAGCCACCCTTGGTGCAAAGTCAATAACCACCAGTTGGCTCCACAATATACAAAGAGTAGGGGATGGAGTTTGTTCTGGTATACTCCATATATAGGTTTTTTTTTATAAAACTTTTAATCCCACCCCCTACATCAAGGCATTAAAGTGTTGCTATTAGTATTTACACCAATAATCCAAAAGAAACCAAGAAAATTTTATGTACCAAAATATAGTTTTATTGAAAAACCAAAGAAACATTATACTTTATTTATACTTTTTTTCTAGAGCCCTGTACCCAGGTGCATTTCTCAAAATACTGGAGCCAGTATATGAAGACTTAGCGTTTTGGGAGACAGACTGCTATGAAAAACAGAGACTTAGATTCCCATCCCATTTACTGATCAGTTGAAGAATGGCATCAAGCTTTGGCCACATACTATTACATCAACTAAAGCGAACCCTCAAAACAGATGCCAAACACAAAGTGGCTTCTCTTGTGGCAAGGGAGGATGCCGGCTGCCTCAAATAGTATTACTGCCTTTGCAAAGGCACAGATCTATCAAGGCTTTGAGAAAAGGTCAATGCTTGAAAAAGGCATCATAGCCTTTGACCACCTCCTTTGTTGTTCATCTAGGAAACTAAAAAAAAACACATTATGAATCGGAATAGTTTGCAGAATAACTAGCAGCTCATGGTGGGAAAATCCTGTAGGCTTCAAAATGGATTGAAGGATCTTTCGGTGAAAGCTTTCCACATTAGTGGAATGAAAACTCTGGTTAAGGCTTTAAAAACCCCATTATCTTTTGCCAAGTTCACCAATATCCTTGTCTAAAATTTCTCTTCCTTCAAAATATACATTTGCCACAAAATATCAAATCAACCTATCCTATAACAGACCTCTGTACTGGGTCAACATTGACCTGTGAGAGCTTTCTCAAAAGCTGCACGAGAAGCTTTAAATCACAAAAAGACAAAGTTGTTTCAGGAGGGACTACCCAAAAAGTTTGACCCCTTGACAGGGTACTAGCACCAATCAACACACTGCTTAGTAGATTTCTTGGTTTCAAGCGGATGTCAGCTCAGCTCATTACCACAGGAGATCTGAAGGAACTGCTTTAGTGTTTTTATGAAATTACTATGAAAAATGTATGAGCAAGGAAAAAACATTAATATTGAAATCCTTTTTGCATTACAGGATCTGCCAGCTGCAAACATGCAATAGAGAAGGATGCTTTAGCTATAAAATTTATCCATAAATTCTCTCCCATTGGAAGAAAAACAAATACAACTGTATGTAACTAAAGGTTTAGTTTAGGCAAGAGCTCATGTTCTTCCTTCCTAATGGCAAAGCACAAAAAAAAACTTTTGGCACTTGAAAACATTTTTTAAAAACAAAAATCAATCAATCATTCTAAATGTCAAGGGAGTGTATTCTCAAGTTCACTTACTGCAATGACATTAAAAAGTAAAACTGCAAAGCTCGAGGTCAACATGCTATGATTTATACAGAGCTGGAATTTCACCCGCAGAAAAAAAAGTCAGAATTGGTGTACAAATGAGAAATGCAATTTAAAAATCTTCAAGTACCCAACAAAAGAACTTGAACTGGTGTTTGACATTTTGCATCTTTCTTGCACAGAATCTTCTGTCTCCTAGCAACAATACAGGCAGTGGTCAAAGTTATTGGGAGATTTAAGGGTCAAAAGTCATCAGCATGTAGCGTCTGTACATCCCCAGGATGTAAGGAAGGGATTTTTAGGAATTGGGTTAAATTGAAGCAAAAAAATTTCAGAAAATAGGAAATCTTTTACTCTACACCTTTCACAGCAGCTGTTATGTAATACAGAACTTGAAGTTGTGCTGCATTGCACATGTTGCTAAAAGTGACTGTTCCAGTATGAAACTCAACTGTAAATATTGTCATTGCTCATGATACAAACAGCAGAAAGGTACATCCTAGAATTAAACATTTTACAAATAGAAAATCACACCTTGAAATAAATGAAACAAGCGGTGACAATTAAAATATTTTAAGATAGATAAATTATTTTCTTTTAAAAAAAGCACAAGATTTTAGTTAGAACCAGTTCTACAGAATTCTTGACAGTGGTGTTATAGGAACAAAATTGTATGCTATGTGTTTATAGTAAAATACTACCGTAAAGGTAACAATGATTAAGTAAATATCTAACCTATCTGTTTTTAAATGTCCAATTTATTGGGGGATGAGAAAACGAAGCAATTCTGCATTGTTGGGGGGGGGGGGGGGGGGGGGGAGAAAGAAGAAGGGAGAAACCATGCAAGAGGTCCATTGGTTAAAACTAAGTTTTATTTTTAAAAAGTGGTAGAAAAACATCTGTGGTTCTTAAAGGCTGATAAACCGCCAATTAGTGTTTATCCAAGGATTTCAGCAAGAAGCCACAATTTTCCTGCCTGCCCAAAGAATAGGAGAACTAAATATCAGCTACAATTTCAAAGATATGAAACCTTTCTTTGTTTGCCCCCTCATATAGTGGCAGAAAATATTTCACTGCAGGCAAATCAGACTAGGCTGCTTTTTATATCTAGGCTCTTACATTTCAAAATGCCTTAAATCTTTTAATCTGGGTTACATAACATTTCTCCAGCATTTAAAAAAGTGGACTTTTTAAATATACATAATACACGCATGGTAATGCATGTTTTATATATAAAAAAAGATTTTAAAACAGTTGAATTTGTCTCCACTTTTGTCTTTGTCTTGTTAAGGTGGAAGCTCTTGGAAAGAATACAAAGTCTGTTGTTCAGAAGCTCAGGCACAGATGAAGCTTATGCATAGAACTCAGTGGTTGGTGCCTTCTTGTAAATTGGCTTTTTGCTCAGGTCATAGCTGCCTTCGTCCTTCTTCCTCATACGGTAAATGAGCAGCAGGATGAGAAGGATGGCAAACAGAAGGCCAATTGTACCACCAGCAATCATTGCTACAAAATTTAAAACAAAAAGTGGTCAGTGTAGCTTTGAACATGCCTCATACACCAGATTAAACTATACCATTCATCACCTCAGGATAACAAAATTGCTTTACAGTCAATGCAGCACATCTTCTGAAAAAAGGTGCCACGGTCAGTTTGCACAAACAAGCACTTACAAGTCACCATAGTCTCATCAGACCATAGGGCTGTGCTCTCAGACAACTGGTGGCAGTTTAACCTGATGGTCATCACACCTCTGCTGAGGGGAGAGGTTGAAAAGGAGGGTCCTTCACAGTAACCTCAGCCCATCCGGGGATTGAACATTCTGTTGGCTTCAGTCTGAAGTCACAACCAGCCAACTGAATGACCTTCCCACTCCCACAAGACAAGCCAGATGAGATCTGTTTCAGATGTCAAGGGAAATAGTAATGACCAGGATATCTGAAGAGCACATTCCAATACATCTTTTTGAAGTAGGATCATTTTCAGTCACCCAACAGTAGCTGGACAGGTTTACATTTCAGCCAGAAATTGAGACTCAGACAGGGTTTGACACTCTCTCTCAGTAAGGTATCAGTTTGGATTCAGCACTGCTGAGGTGAGTCTTGAACCCACAATTTTTATAGCTCCAGATACTGAAGCTGTATTCTGTACTAAAACTGAACAGTGACTGAATCTTTTTAAAAAAAAGATTTAAGTGTTTGATTGGGTAAACACAGGGCAGATGGATATTAAAAGAGGGCAGACCAGAACTTCAGGGTCATCAATACAAAAAAATGTTAACACTAGTGACAAAAAGGAAGTTTAGGAGGGAAAGGTACTTACTGTTAAAAAAATAGTAGAATGTGGAATTCTTAAATTGCAAGAATTAACAAAGGCAACTCTCACTGTTTAGAAAAAAAACTTTACAAAACAAGGAGGATGAGAAGGGAGGTTTCTTGCTCTGTATGAGCCTTCAACAGTTGGGCTGAATGGCCTATTACTATGGAGTTTGTTTGGTAGGGAGGACATAAGTATTCCATTTCCAAACATGCTGGTTGGTTAGGAAGTTTGCTTTATACACTATGGCAGTAGTCCGTACCTGCAAGCATCTCTGTACTTTCAAAGACACTGCTGCTATTTGTGCTTGCCATAGCAACCTGGTTACTGATGTCTTCCTGTGGTACAGCGTTGTTCCTCTGCAGCACCTCATTGCTGATAATGGGATCTTCTACTTCAGAGATGACATCCTCATCACTTTCGTCAATATGGTTGTCCATTTCATCATCCTAGGATCAATGAGAAAAGTCCGTTAAAGTTAATCCTTTCCCACTCCCAGAGTGTTCTGGCTTCTATATTTTGGGACCACTGACTTGGCATCCATCTCACATTACCCCCCAATGCACTGGGTCATACTTTGCCCTTACCCAAAACAGATTGTTGGAAGGCCACAAGTTGGCATTCTGCCTGGGAGCTGGTGACCAGTTTTGCCAATTCTTGTGACACCAGCTTACCTTAGTTGCTGGTGATGGGCACTTCCTGAGCAGTGTGGCTCAGTGACAGTGGTGCCATTTGCTCATGGAGCTGGGAATGCAGATCATTTGACAACCCCAACCTTGCTCCAGTCAGACTGCCTTTCGTTGGTGCCAACACACTAACATTGAGCTGATGTTGCAGTGGGCAGTACAACAACACTGTAGAAACAGAGCCGCAGTGGGATTGGCTTTACAACTGAGCTAGAGCTGTTGCAACTTCATTGGTTTCAAGAATTTGGCAACCAAAGCCAAGGTCAGTGGGGATCCAATGAAGTTTACTGGTACTATTCTCCAATCTCCACAGGGGGCTAATGGGAATTAGTCCTACTTCTGGGTGCCCTTGACTTCACGATACTCTGATTTTTACAGAGGACAGTTTCATAACTTGAATGACAGCTAAAGAATGGAGCACATCTCACCTCATCATCGATTGGTCCTTGACCATCATCTGTAAGAGAAAGATCAACAGGTTAGCCATTATGAATTTGCAAATGCCAAAGGAGCAATGTCAGACTCAAACTGAATAATATACAGTGGCTCTACAAGTCCTTTCATTAAAAAAAAATGTTCTGGGGAGACAGTGTCCAGCATATGATGCTATTTGCCTCAGTCTGTCCAGTTCAGTAATAACATTCACATTTCTTCAGCTTGCTGTTCAGTGGAGAGAGACCTGAACCAGCAATTTGACTTTGAGAACTGGGCTTTATATTCTGTACAGAAATGCAGGGGGTGACTGGGCAGCAAATTTTCAAAATTTGTGAAGTGTGTTTGATACAGTAAAATACAAGGTAGCTAGCACACAATACTGAATACTGCAACTGCAGTAAAGAGGGCTTTGGAGGCTCTCAGTAACTGCCATTATTTGGAGCTTTCATTTTGCAACCAACTAAAGTCAAGAATTAAGGGCAAAAGGAGGCAGTGATTGCAAAATTATTTTAAATAGTGCACTGGAGGTCTCAATGATATTTGGAAATAGAATGAATGATGTTTAATGGAAGGAGGAGAATATTTGAGTGTGCATTTAGGCTTACAGTAACCTTACTGAGTGCTGACTCACCAGAGAGAATCAAGTTTAAAAAAGCAGTGACTCATTTCCTAGCAATGTCAATTGCAAGTGAGTCTCTGCAGTTTCTCAGAGAGGTTGGAATTTCCACTGTGTGCTGATGTGAGAAAGAGAGAATGAGTGTAGTGATAAATGGTAGGGGTGGAAAGTGTAGCGCGAGAGAGATAGGATGGAAAACCCCACGCAGTTACAGGTTTTACAGTAACTCGAAGTTGTAAGCCTTGGCTCAGCAGCAAACAGTGCGCTCCCTCACTGAAACCACTTCCTCTGGCATCAGCTGCTGTGAAGAGAACCCACGATATGACAATCTTGCAGCCATTCTGAATTCTGACACAGCAACCACAGGTCAAAAACCCCTAGTTCAAATCAGAAGCACTTGAGAGCTACTCTATTCGGAAAACTCAAAAAATCCTACGTTAGGGTAAAATGTGAAAAGAAGTGCTTAAAAATAGGGTTACAGTGGGGATCTCTAAATGTTAGACATTCAGTTTGGAAGTGAAATTAACAGAGAGTCAACTCACTAGCACAATCCATCAACAGGAATCCCTTTCATTTCAAGATGAATCACCATTTCAGGTGCCCCTCATCTTATGACAACTTGACATGGAGTTGAATGGAAAGGCTATTCTGCTCCAATGTGGGCCTATACTTGAGGCCTGGCTGACAACTTTTAGAAATATCCTGTTGCATTCAGGGTAGATAAAAATATCAAAGACAAAAAAAGGAAATCAAGGATAGTTAATGTTTTTTAGTCCTGTCAGTGACACATATATTCCACAAACAAGCAGTCTTGTTTCTCCAGTAGGGTTTAAATACGAACTCAGCCTGCAGTAACACATTGGGATCAATGTGGAGAGATGTTCTGGATGGTCATTAAATAAAGAGGATTGAGATTTAGAAAGAAAAGTACTCTCTTGGAACAAACTGAATGAGCTTGGAAACAGTTTGACCACAAATATTTGCTTGTAAACAAGAGCAGTTAACAAGAGCAAAAAAGGAGGAAATGGGAATTGTGTATATACACAAGTGGAAAAAAGATCAACAAAAATGATTACAGAAGTGTAAACCAAGCTGTACAAAAACCACAATTTACAATTTCTCCCAGAATTCTAAGCTATTGAAACAGTTTGTGGTTTAGCAGCAGATAGTTGTGAACAGAGGTCTAATATTCCTAACAGCCTTTAATCCTCAAACAGATTGGAAAGAAATCAGAGTTATTACAGATGTATATGAGCACTGGGGGTTTGGGGATGGGGGGGATGGATCTATTAGATCCTTACAGCCATACTTGGCACAAATCACATCAATACTGCGTTTCACCAGAAGTAGTGATGACTGGATGTTTGGATTCAATTCATATCCTTCAGTCCAGGGGATTATGTGTAATTTGTAGCCTACACATACAGAATTCAGGGAAAATTGGAGGATAGGCTACAACTTTTAAAAAGCCAAGACTGTTGTGATACAACTAAAAACTTTTAGAACTGAGGAATGAAGTTGGTCACCAACTATTAAGTTTTCATTCCCACTTTTGAAAATGCAAGTCCAGATGGAAAGTTGCTCTTATTCCAAAGACATGTTTTTTTTTTAGAAAAATGAAGATGTTACCCTGGAGCATCACAAACACCTACACATCAAGAAATAAAAAAGGTAGTTACCCAGATCATGGTCATCTCCAGAGGCGAAACCAGAACCTTCTTCTTGCTCGTAGAAAGGATATTGAAGTTTGTTTCGTCCAGGGAACCCTGAACCCTCTGGATTATCAAAGTGGTTCCTTTCCGAAAGTAATGACTTTTGCTGTATCAAGGTAAAACAAAAAACAAAGAGAAAACAACAACATCAGTAGAGGGTTTACAAAATTTCAGGAATTAGATCTTGCACTAAATGCTTAAGTTAAACACAGGGGATTTAGCCCCACACATTCAAACTATATTAAATTCACTCTTGAGAAAAGCATTTGGGAATGAGAAATTTTTGTTTTCTGCCTGTTGCTCTCTCCTTCCCAACAAGGTCAGTCTAGCACAAGCTCAAAAAAAAATCACATGCTAAAACCGAAACAAGTGCTACATTCTTGCTGCTTGGAGCAGAAACATTCCAATCAGGCAGTAAACAGGAAACTCTTTATAAAATGTATATACCTAGTTACTGATGCAACAAGAGAAGATGACAAGAGAGGCAGGAGGGACAGATCTTTCTGCTCTGCCAGAATCTTCCGAATCAAATACAATTTGTTACTTTAAAAATATAAAGCTGCTTAAAAATGTGACCTAGAACCACAGAAATCAATTAAACCATTGACCTGCATATTTATCATCCCACTGTGCCCATATTAACACTTCAAGCACCAAACAGGAGAATATTGTACTCTATCTCCCATCTGGTGGGAAACTTCACCATACTAGTGGACAGTCAGCTTTGAACAGTAAATTGCGTTGTCTTACTGTAACCAAACTACTGGGAGTTTGGTTCCTACCAGTCTTGTACAACATTCAGCCCGCTACAAGAGTCAGAACCTGTTCACAATGAGAGATGTGGTTTGACACAAGCGTAGAGTTGTGACTAATGCAATGTAGAGTTAGGGACAGTTTGGGGAACTGCGTACTGACCTCCATTTGTAAGCTGAATTGTTTCCAGTTCTCCACACTTGGTGTTCCTTTCCAACCCAACCCAACCCCTCAATCCCATATTCAGAAATCCTCTTACAACTGAATGGCTTTTCTCCCCCTGCCTCCCCTACCACCACAGCATGGTGTTCCCCCTCTACTTATTAGCCACCACCAGCAAATTGCTGACATTTTCCAATCATTATTCGCAAAACCCATTAAGGGCAAATAATTGGAGCATTAACTTGTGCCATGTTAACATCAGCACTCAAATGAAACTGGAAATTGGTAGAATTAAGATCAACCTCACATCCCATGTATAAAAGTGGGTCGAAGCGATCACAGACAAAGCTAAGAACTGACTGATACAATTAGGCTTCACTTGACCAAAAAGGGAGGAAATCAGCCAGGATTCCCACTGGAGATCAGCAAAGTGCCTCTTAATGCAGGAGCTAATGGGTGATGTCCACCACATACAAGGAATGAAGACAGCACAGGCTAGGAGCACTAGCCCAATGGGAGAAGGCAGTGAATGTGCTTTGGAAAGCCTCAACATAGCAGTGTGGGGAAGAAGGAGATGGCAGATTTAAAAATAGACATGGACAGAGTTACATCCCAGTCTGACAGACACACATGTAACATTCCATCAGCAAGCAACAGCAAAGAGCTTATGAAAAAGCAAATGGGAATTTACTTTCCCCAAGCACCCCTTGTACACCCAGCCTGGTTACTTCATAGTTAATTAAACCCTGGTGTCACATGGGGTTAACATTTAGAAGAGTTGGGATGTGTGCAAATCAGTACATTATAACAGGGATTTGATTCAGAACTGCTTCATAAAAAACAACTGGACGCAAAAAGAAAGAAGTGCATAAACTATAGTCAATTTGTTTCAAACCTGTTCTTCATAAAGGAGGATATTGAGGCACCACTTCAGTCCCCAGTATCTCTACCATTGGGTCTATTTGTCAAGCAGTACTGTCCTCTGTATAAATCTGGTTTTCCCCTTTAGGTTGGTATTTCTCACAAACTGTCCTGGAGTGCAAGGTATAAAACCTCAAAACATCTCAAATTTATTTTTCATGAAACATAACCTGTACAGCCAGGTGGTATGGAGATAGCAAGAACTGCAGATGCTGGAGTCAGAGTCAATACAGTGAGGAGCTGGAGGAACACAACAGGTCAGGCAGAGGAGCAGGAGAGTCACTGTTTCGGATGAAGGGTACTGACCTGAAATGTCAACTCTCCTGCTCCTCATGCTGCTGTTCCTCCTGCTCCACACTGAATTGACAGCTGGGTGGTATGGCTAATCTGTTTAAACTATTTCATGATCTAACATTTGCTATTAACAATGCTCAGATCTCAAAACATGAATTAATTCTGCCACCTCTCACTCTACACTGAATTCTGATGTAGAGTGTAAAGAGACAGCCAAGCAGCAAGAACAGGTTTCAAACAAAAATATTTGCAGTTATGTAGCATCATAAAAACATTCTAAAAAGAGTGCTTTCTGGCCAATGAAGTATTTTGTCACAATAGAATAAGGGGTAACCAGTTTGCACAGAACAAGCTCCTACTAAACAGTAATGTGATGTTGATCAGTTAATTGAGTTGATGTTGGAGGAGGATTAAACATTGACCAGGATGCTAGGGAGAACTTAAAGTTAGAACCACTATGGGACAGATTGGCTCTCTACACAAAAAGCACTTTAAGTAAGTAAACAGTGAAGTACTTCCTAAGTGCTGCACTGGTATATCAGTTGAGAGCAGCTCAAGCCCCATGCTTCTGCTATCCACCAAGATCAGGCTGACAAAAACAAAGTGATCAGTGGGTCAGCGGTAACTGTTGCATCCCTTTTAGACAATATAACAGACAACACAAGTTAATTGCAGAGAATGTGGGGGAAGTAACTTTACACAATGGAGTTAACTCACTGATGAAGTGTCAGTGACTACAAAGTTACTCACAATGTGTTTAGAACATTGAGCCAGAGTTGCAACATACCTTCCTTATTCATGATAATTTGTACAAGTCATATTTTCCCCTTGTGCCAAATTGTCTTCCCAAATGAGATGTCAGAATGAGACAGTCTTGTAAACACTGACATCAAGTGCTAATGGTTTTGCCATTGCAAATAGTGAGCAGGGTCTCAGAACAGATAGAAGCAAAAACAAATTGCTGGAAAAGCTTAGTGTGTCTGGCAGCATGTGTGGAGAGAAATCAGGGTAAACCTTTCAGGTCTGGTGACCCTCCCTCAGATAGAAACCCTGGCCAATTAGCCTTGGGTGTCATGGCTACAGAGATGGAGAATTGTGATGTTTTTCATAGGGGAAAAAAGATATGCCATTCAGCCCCTTGGGCCTGTTCTATCATTCAATGACATCACGGCTGATTCATGGCCAATAGCTACATACTCCTACCTTTGGCCAATATCCATTAATACCGTCGCTTAACAAAGAAAGTTTATCTATCTCAGACTTAAAGTTAGTTGAGCCAGCATCAATAGTCACTTGCTGAAAGAGCTCCCAATCAATCATCAACCACTTGTGCTGAACTGCCTCCAGCTGCCCAGGTCAAGTCTTGCATCTCCCCTCTTTAAAAAGATGCAGCCATGATCACAACTTTGATTGCCTGTTCCAGTAGGTCCTTATGTGGCTCACAGAGTATCTGATAATGCTCCTGCAGAAATGCTGAGAGATGCTTTTGTACTTTTTGTAAATAAGGGTACTGAATTGTTGTTCCATAACAAACAGTGACAACGAAGCAGCGAGTTAAAGGAATCAGATGCTCATTAGAGCCTGCCAGATTAATTCAGTTAAAACCATCCTCATGTCAGCTGTATAAACACATAACTGCAGTAAACACCTGGATTATAGTGATAAGGTGGAGTAAAATAAAAAGCACCACAGTCACAGCTGGGTGCTTGGAGCAGGCTGCAGCTTGATCAAGAGGCTTGGACAGTCTAAAACAAACCATGAAGCTGTGAAACTTCCCAGAAATAAAACAAAAAAAAAACGATTGACAGAGGGAGGCGGGGGAGGGTTCCCCAATTGAAAGAGTTGCCAAACAGTGGAGGCCTCCAGCTGGTTTACTGCCAGGATCGCTTATAGAGGGGGAAAAAAAATGAAATAAAAATCCCACATTTTGCAATCAACACCTCCTACATGGAAAGGGTCACCGAGAGACTGTCTATGCTGCACGTATGAGAACCACATTGTTGCCGACTGGGCAATTGAGAAACATCTGATGCGGAAGGGGTTTTTTCCCCCCCGCCACAATGAACTGCAGATGCTGGAAATCAGAAACAAGAATAGAAATTGCTGGGAAAAGAAAACCAGGTCTGACAGCATCTGTCAACAAATCAAGAGTTAACGTTTCAGCTCCAGTGACTTCTTCAGAAGAACTCTGAAGAGTCGTCACTGGATCTGAAACATTAGCTGTTTGTTGCCAGACCTGCTGCATTTCTCGGATATGGGACTACACAAGTCAAAAAAATTGCAAACTTCTAAACGTTTGACCTCCTGAGGCACTGCTCTGTGGAAAGGATAGCAAATAATGAACCATTGTCTAAACACTGCAGCGAGGTGTTGTGGGGCTTTTGTCACCAGACATGCCAGGCCATTGGAATCAGGCAGCATCCTCAAAAGGGCAAGCTATGTTATATATTCAGCAAGTTTGTAACAACGCCAGTACAAGCCAATTCAAGTCAACAGCTAGAAGGCAAAAGGGAGTGCTCTGAGACTTCCTCTGGTACCGGTGTGTCACCAGAGTCAGGTTCAAATCTCCAGGAACCACCACCCCCCACCACACCCAAACAGACTCCTTCCAAGGCCAAGCAACCAAGGCATTGGCCAATGGGGCCACACTCCCTCTTCTCACTGAGGGGACTGCATGTCCCCATTCTCCCAAGCCTAACACTTAAGCCCTCCTGAGTTTTTAAATTAAATCAACCTTTTGGTTTAATTGATATGGCCGAGATATTGTGACAGCCCAGTTGAATGGACTTTTCGGCTTCTAGAAAAAAAACAGTCAGGGTCATGTCATGTCTCCACAAGAGGGGAGTTTAAAAAGTTAATAGTTGAAGTTAATGGTGTTCGATTTGCATTTACCAAGTGATAAGAGAGCCCAGTACAACCTGCATACTGGGTGGTGACAGCACAGTATCACACTCTCACACAAAGGTGGTTGGGAAA